CGTGCGGTGCCCGGCCCGCCCCGGCCCCTCTCCCCCGGCGGGAGGTGGAGAAGGAGGAGGCCCCTGGGGAGGGGTCCTGACTCCCACGGCTAAATCCCCCAGCCTCTCCCCAGGGTTTTATTTCGCAGCCATGCCCCCCGAGCCGTCCTCCCCCGGGGGTCCCGGGTGCCAGCGCGGCGGCCGGCTCCGCTGCCGAGCCCGCCGGGCCATCCTCCGTGGCGCTTTGCTTTCTTTTTAACCGATGTTTCCTCCCAGGAGAAAAACTAAACCAAACAAGTCCCGACCACCAGACCAGGGCGAGTTTGGTGCCGCAGCCAGCCCCCAGCAGCAGAGCAGGTAACCTCCCGCCGGGACCCCCGCACCACTTGGATTTCGTTGTCGTCCTTTTTTTTCCTGGGAAAAACTCTCAGGGGCGGCTCCGGGACGCAGCGGCGGCAACAGCCGGGGGTTTCTCCTTGAAACCAAGCCCCTCGGTTTAGTTACTTTGCAGCCTAGTGAGACCTCCTGGGTAAGGAAATCCTGGGAAAAGTTTTTTTTCTTTTTCCCTGGGAGGGAGGAAAATGGTCCTTAGAGCTCGGGGCTGCCCGCAGGTACAAGGGATGCGGGACAGGGATGACATTTTGGGGGCGGATGGGGGAAGTGGGGTCTCTCTGCCACTGCAGAGGCGCTGAGCCCACGGCTGAAGCTGAAGGAAGACACCGGACTCGGAAAGCCCTCCTGGGCTTCGGGGAAAACCTCTTCAGGTCTCATCCTGCGTTCCAGAGCCAGCTGAGCAGAACCACAGTCCCCCATCCACGGCATATACCAATATTGGAGCTGGGGGGGCTGCTGGCTGCTTTATCAGCACAGAAAAAGCCATGGGCTTTCACACCGTCCTCACCCATTGCTGCTGAGCATCACCTCTAAGCCAGATGCCCACCCGTGGAGAGCCTGGCCCAGAGCAGGTAAGGGAGCCGCTGCAGCAGGGTGGGCTAGACAAGCCAGAGGGACTTTTTATAGCCAGATCACAGCTTTGTATGTAGCTAGGTGTCCATGTCCTGAGAATACAGGTAGAAATGTCTACATCATTAACGCAGTGGCAGATACCTCCACATATCCCAGAGCAGAGTAAAGATCACAGCCTTCAACTTTGTAACTTGGTTGAAAGTATTTCCAATAGCAGAGCAGGATGAAAGCCTTTTTCAACAGAGGCAAGGAGGTGGTCTAGACCAGGTCATATCCTCCTCCTCCTTTCCTTTTTAAACTTAAAAGCCACCCAGCCTTTTGGAAAAAGATTCTTCAGCCCTTTCCTTTAAACATTTCCTAGTGGTTTTATTCTACAGTCCTAGTAAAAATTCACCAACCAGGTTATTTCCCACCGTTTCTCATTGCCCTGTTTGTGTCTGTATGTGTTTTTATTCTTGCTTTATTTTTCCTGCAGACATGTGTGGCTCTTCTTCCCCTCACTTCAGGGCTCAGGCGGGGAAGCATGGGTCTGACAGAGCAATGTCGGGTCCAGTCCTGATCTGCCTTAGACAAGCTGGTGTTGGGGTAAACTGCCTCAGTTTCCCTTCTGCCACATGGGGATAACAACAGGAGTGTAGGTGCTGGCTGGAGGAGGTGAGAAAGTGTGAAATGCAGCCTTAGAGAAAGGTGCCTTTCTCCACAGAAGTCACGGATCTTCAGGGAGGAAAGCAAATCAAGGGCATGGCAGGGACCATTCATTCACCTTGGGAGAGCTGGGGGGGAAAAGGATGGAAGATTCATGTTTCTCCTGGAGCGTGCATTTAAATCAAGTGGGTATCTGAATGCAGTCAGTTCATTTCAGTCAGAGGACCTGACTTTTCCAGTAGCTGGAGAGGGCAACAGGACAGATGCCCAAGAAGGAGTCACTAAAGATCGCTCCAGGATGCACAAAGAAAAATACCCCCTTACAGGAGATGGAAACCTTCAGCTCTGCAGACATCAGCTGGTGAGATTTTCATGTCGATGCAAGGATTTTAATGTATTCTGATCTAGCAAGAATGGGTTTGGGAGGGAAAAGGGTTATGGGATGCACAGGAAGAACAGCTTTTCTCATTCAATCATACCAAACTTGCTTATCACTCAATTTCTCCTTTTTTTATTAGTCTAACCATCAGAAAGGAGTTGGAAATGAAAACCCAACAGTATGGCTGGGTCTGGAGCTGCCTGCACCTGAGATCACATCTAGCAAAGGAAGAGACGTCTCATCTGGTCAATGGGACATGAAGACCCAACTGCGTGAAGTGTTTATACTCCAAGGCCCTGATCTCACATCATTTTACAGGCAGTGGGAGAAGCCCTGGGCCCGTCTCGGGTGGCAGGCTGGCTGAGACTCCAGCTGGTGAGTAGTTACTTTAAAGCTGATGGGACCATTCAAATTGCTCTTAACTTCACCAGGTTAGGACCCAGATGTCAAACTAGATTTGGCAGACGGATAAAACAGCAGGACAGAGGCAGGCAGGAGCAAGCAGGCAGGAAACAAATTGTGGTTTACCATCGAACAAGGAAAGTCAAAGACTCTGATTCCCACATGTACTTTATCGCTCAGGGTGCTCCTCCTGGCCCAGATCTTTTATAAAAAGGTGGAAGACAATAATAAAGATGGCTACCAAATAAATGCAATCTGGATCTCTCTTTAAAATGAGGCGATGAGGAGTGAATAAATCACGTTTACTGTGTGTAAATTTTGCCAGCATCTGCTGCCTTCTGCATCAGTTCATCCTAACTGAGTACGCAGAGCAATTTCAACTGCTCTTTTACCTCCAGCCCCCAAACCATTTTGCACTAGAGCTGCAGCCTCCTTTACAAATGTTGCATGCACAATCACTTTACAGCATGGGTGAACTTGCTTCACCGCAGGGGAACAGGTCTGCTGTTACACCTCAGAGAGCTGCTGTTTCAAGCACCCTGCATGCCCAGGCAGGTATTGCATCAGCAGTACCCAGGCCACATCTCCAAGCTGCTCTTTGCGACGACGTGGATTAGAAAAACATGCATTTGCTTGCCCCCCCCAAAGCAATCTTCTGCTAAACCGCATGCAGTATGGGGGTAACTGGCAGGATATGTGGCCATGCTGAGAAACCAGTGGTTTTTCCCTATCTTAAGTGAAACAGTAGCCTAGATATTTGTACTGGGCAGAGCTGTGTTTGGAGCACCCCTGTTTGCAGAGCCGTCCCCTTAGTCACAAAGCAGAGTCATCCGTATCTCAGCCACCCCTGGGATGTGCAAGGAAGAAGCGGGGGTGGGAGCCCTGGGAGTGAGGACGTCTCTGGTTCCTCTCCCAGGGATGGACGCAGTGAGCCATCCAAAGCATTCTCCAGCCTCAGAGCCAGCGGTGGGCTCTGGGGGATGCTTCAATGATACATGACTTGCTGACGGTGCTCTTAGCATGGCGCCGAAATACCCCATCACTTACTAACAACCAGACATTCAGGGACTTCCTTGGCTGAAAGCTGCATGAGTACCGCTGCCTTGAAATAACAGTGGTCGGGCCCATTCCCACCCTCAGCACATCCCTGTCTGAAACCATGCATGCTCCAATCTCCCAGATGGAGACCCTCAGAAGCAGCTTGACAGACCCTCCCACCAAAGCTACTCTGTGTGATAGGAATGCTTTGCCACCAGAAGGTGAATCACATAAGAGCTCGGTACATTAGGATGAGGACGGCTAGGGGGAGGGGAGGGAAATCCTTTCCTCCTGGGAGATTTCCCTCATGGGATGCCACCTCTCAGACGAGGAACATGTGATAGAGAACAGCAACGAGAGCAAAACAGGAGACCCAGAGGGTCGACTCTGTGGCTTGTAACCACAACTAGCACACGTGCAGGAGTTGGGGCACATGCTGCTTGGCTACAGGATCATCAGCCATGCAAAAACCAGCCCAGGACACCAGGCAATGACGGCCTGGAGTCAAAGGAGCCACAACTGAACACCCTTCCTGAGTTATTCCATTTCTTCAAGACGCAGGAAATGGATAACCAAATAAATTCTTCCCGAGACCTAAGTCTTTGAGTCACTAATGTATTTGTAGGAAAGTATGCAGCAAGGTCCAGGCAAAATAATTTCTTCACAAAAAGTATAGGTAAAGCATTTACCAAACTGGGGAACATCAGGGAAAAATTCCTAGAGAAAGAAACTTGCAAACTATTTTACACCTTTGTAGGGAAGTTTTTTTTTTCCCACTACAACCAGTCAAGATTTTCTTCCTCAAATTAATTTTGATATAAAAATTGTGAAGTTTTCTTTTATTCCTATGGAAATAAAGGGGATGGGAGAAAAAAATCTTTTTTGTTGTCTGTTTACCAAAAATAATATTCTTAACAGAAGCATCTATTTGTTTAAACTTGAAAGAAAACAAAAGAAGATTCTAAGGGACTTGAACTATTGAAAACCATGACTCAAGGGGCAAGATTTGGTTTGGAGTTTTGGAGACTTGGCTTCTATAAACTTTGGTGCTTTTTTGTTCAAGACTAAACCTCAATATTTGGGGTGAACAAATATTTATTTTTCCCTTTTCCTGGAACAAAAAAAAATCCCAAATTCCTGCCCCAGGTCTGTACCTCATGGCCAAAACCCAACCCTGTGAAAAGGCCAAACACAAGGGCCAGGCTGAGCTGATCCCTCTCCCTGGTGGCTTAGCTGTCCTGCCTGGTGGCTTCAACACACTGAGAAGAGCAAAGCATGGGTCATGCCTG